AATTTAACCTCAAAAATCAAAAAAATGTGCAACTGTTACTCAACCTCAAACGCAACTTCAGTGTTTTTCAGCGAATTAAAATGTTTTAAACGGGTTTTGATGTCTCTGGTGAAGGCAGTTTTTTGCAGTTTTAAACTACCCAAAACTAGCTGAGTTACTARCAKATAACTGCAGCAGTGCATTGGTCGCCCTTTCTCAAAACTTCCCCTTTWGCATGTTGATTTGCGAAAACATTGGGAACTTTGGACCAGCCGGTTTTTTCCAGAGGTTYTTTGTTGAACAAATTMCCAAAAATCCTCCAAAAGTGTTGAAGYCCGCAAACTTTTAGCGCGCTACTTGTGACTTTTGCGGCCGATTYGCAAAGTTCGACCACAGTCTTGKAGGAATTTTATTGCGCTAAAAACAGCGTTTTTRCTGCTCAAAAATTCGTAAAATCCACCGCGTCCCGCGCGAAACAATGCGATCTTGCAGTGGTCGCCCTTTTTTTCAGAACAACGGTGAAATTGGGAWWTTTAGCCGAATTTCTCAAAAACACATTGTTGAATCACTGGGAAGCCTCCGAGTGACTTTTTGAGRAGCATTCAACCTCAAAAATTTGCTTAAAATTATAGTTTTTGYGGTTTGAAAATATCAAAAAATTKACCAAATTTGGTGCAAACCGGCGCKGCGTTGCACTRGTCGCCCTTTTGCCAAACCTCCAATTTTYCAAACAATTTGACTCTRAAATAGTGGGCYATTTTTGAAAAGGKGACTTGGCAATTGCAAWTTTTTTTTKAATTTCAATTGCTCAAAAATTTWACCTCAAAAGTAAAAAAAAATGTGCAWCTGCTGCCCTCTGCSGCCGATTCAAAAAGTTCGACCACAGTCTTGTRGGAATTTTATTGCACTTTAAAACAGCGTTTTTGCTGCTCAAAAATTCGCAAAATCCACCAAGTTAGGCGCGAAAAAGTGCGATTTTGCAATAGTCGCCCTTTCTTCAGAACAACGGTGAAATTGGGAATTTTAGCCAAAGGCGGTGTTTTCTTTGCAAAAGTACGTTCTTCAGTCATTTGTAAGTGGTGTCCGTGTCTTTTTGATGAGCATTCAACCTCAAAAACTCCAAAAAATTGGAAAAAATTATCAAACCTTAAGCGCGCATTTTGCACAATTTCCGACCGTTTTACCAATTTTCAATCAGTCGGGGTTTCGTCCTTGAAGGCGCTGAAAATTGTAGTTTTTGCAGTTTGAAAATTTCCAAAAAATAACTGAATTCGGAGCAAATTGGAGTGTCAGTGCGCTGGTCGCCCTTTTTCAATCTCCCAAAAATCGTCCAAAAGTGTTAAAGCCCGCAAACTTGAAAATGTGCAACTGCTGCCCTCTGCGGCCGATTTGAAAAGTTCGACCACCATCTGGTAGCAATTTTATTGCGCTTTGTAACAGCGTTTTTGCTGCTCAAAAATTCGCAAAATCAACCGAGTTACGCGCAAAAGAGTGCGGTCTTGCAGTGGTCGCCCTTTGTTCAGGACAACGGTAAAATTGGGAATTTCAGCTGAAGGCGGTGTTTTTTTGCAAAAATACGTTCTTCAATCATTTGTGGGCCTTCCAGTGGCTTTTTGAGGAGCATTAAACCTCAAAAACTCCAAAAAATTAGAAAAAATTATCAAACCTTAATCGCGCATTTTGCATAATTTTCCATCATTTTACCAATTTTTATCAGTAGGGGTTTCGTCCTTGAAGGCCCTGAAAATTGTAGTTTTTGCAGTTTGAAAATTTCCAAAAATTAACTGAATTCGGAGCAAAATGGAGTGTCAGTGCACTGGTCGCCCTTTTTCAAACTGCCGAAATTCCTCAGTCGACGACTAGCGGCAATTTAGCCGAAAAAATGATTTTAACTCTTTTGGAAAATCTCCAAATATTAAACTTCACCAAAAAAAATTCTAGGGGAAGTAGGTGCAATATTTACTTGAAAGTGGAGTTTTCGTGGATTTTCCCTGTAACGTCGCTTATAACCGTAAAAACTCGCTCTTGGTGGAACACTCGGTATATTTAATTTTTTTTGGAATTAAAAAATTGTTTTTTAAAAAAGTTGCCGAATTTATCGCTTTTCTTAGTTTTCTCGACTTTCGTTTAGCAAAATTCCAGCTATTTTTTGCTCATTTTTTTGCCAAAAATTTTCGTCTCATATTGTGATGTTGCACACTGCTATAATTTTTGGGCGAAAATTGGGGTCAATTTCGGATTTTTTTGGTCAAAAGTGGCAGGAAATTGGAAAACTCTGTTCAATTTTTGGCGAGTTTCTCTTGAATCTTTTTCGTGTCGAACTTCAAAGGCTTCCACCACTGTATACAGTGGGACCAGAAATTTTTTTCATCAAAAGTGAGTTTTTGTCATTCGAATCATCATTTTCCAATATTTTCAACTCTTGTTGGTCTTCTTCTTTTATGGGGGACTAAGAGAAAGACGGATTTAAAAGAAGTTTTTAATTCGACGGCCAACTATGCAAGAAGCAAAGCCGGAAATCGATGGCAAAGCGTGTGGACACCTGGAGAAAAATGCGAAATCCTTTAAGAATATGGAGATTTGCCGTTCAAAGTGCGCTCAAATGGACGTTTTCGAGCGTGAATTCACGCCAGCTTAAGTTTTTAGCGCAACAACGCCCTTCAATTCGATGCAGGTGGTCGGAAATCTCCATTTTTACCACATTCCACAAATCACGTACTTTTCAATCGACTTTGTTGCGACTTTTTCCTCGTGAAGTGGGCGCCGCATGAGAATTATTCATCTTTAAGCACCGAAATCTGTCAGAAGATCCGTCAAAAGTCAACGTCAAACCGGTCAATTTAGTTGAAGCTAACCTGCAATTTTGACAGGTGACTGTCACATGTGCATTTTTTGCAGGTTATGGAATCTGAAAGCGTACGGTTGTTATGCGGACAAATTTGGTTTATAGGGGAAATTGTSCAAAAATCWGATTTTCCGGTTGTYTATCATTTATGYKTTCTGTWAAAATGACAGCTGGATTTTGTAGATTAATTTTACSGAAATYTWAMGCAAAAAAGTTTTTTCTTTTTTTTAMCTGCWAATGGAAAGTAGGGGAAGTTAGTGTAAAATTTCAATTTTTAATGGTTCRCTCWGCTAATGRMAMTAGTAATCAAGAAAAGTTGCTTTTTGTGAACAACGTGGTTTGTCCCACTGGGTCCAGTGGAAAAAGCCCTGAAATTTTAGGTCAAATGGTYGAGGAAAAACTGTCAAAAAACTGAAGTTTCTTAGGTTTCYTGTCATTACACTTTTTTAATTAATGTTTCACGGATTTCACTAAAGTTTGACGAAAAATTCGGTTGTAAGTGATTTTCTCTGGAAGAACGCTTCTAATCAAGAAAACCTACTTTTTGCAAAAACTGTGTTTTGCCCCACCGGATCCAGTGGTGGAAGTCCCGGGAAGTGAGGACAAGCGGTTGGACAAAAACCTGCAAGGTGCATTTTTTTTGTCAATTTCTCCAAAATCCTCCAAAAAGTGCACTTTGGAAACCGATTTTTTCCAATTTATTTCTATAAATCCTAAGCTCATGAGACGTAGGGGAAGCTGGTGCAAGTTTGAACCAAAAAATACTGTTTTAAGCGATTTTCTCTGGAAAAACGCTTCTAATCAAGAAAAGCAACTTCATGTAAAAAATGTGTTTTGTCCCACTGCATCCAGTGGTCGAAGTCCCGGAACGTGAGGACAAGCGGTTGGACAAAAACCTGCAAGGTGCATTTTTTTCGTCAATTTCTCCAAAATCCTCCAAAAAGTGCACTTTGGAAACCGATTTTTTCCAATTTTTTCTATAAATCCTAAGCTCATGAGACGTAGGGGAAGCTGGTGCAAGTTTGAACCAAAAAATACTGTTTTTCTCTGGAAAAACGCTTCTAATCAAGAAAATCAACTTTATGTGTAAAATGTGCTTTCTCCCACTGGATCCAGTGGTGGAAGTCCCGGAAAGTGAGGACAAGCCGTTGGACAAAAAGCTGCAAGGTGCAATTTTTTCGTCAATTTCTCCAAAATCCTCCAAAAAATGCGCTTTGGAAACCGATTTTTTCCAATTTTTTTCTATCAATCCCAATCTCATGCGACGAAGAGGAAGCTGGTGCAAGTTTGAACCAAAAAATACTGTTTTAAGCGATTTTCTCTGGAAAAGCTCTTCTAATCAAGAAATGCAACTTTATGTGAAAAATGTGTTTTGTTCCACTTGATCCAGTGGTGGAAGTCCCGGGAAGTGAGGACAAGCGGTCGGACAAAAACTTGCAAGGTGCAATTTTTTCGTTAATTTCTCCAAAATTCTCCAAAAATTGCACTTCGGAAACTGATTTTTCCAATTTTTTCTTTTAAATCAAATGCTCATGAGACGTAGTGGAAGCTGGTGCAAGTTTGAACAGAAAAATACTGTTTTAAGCGATTTGCTCTGGAAGAACGCTCCTAATCAAGAAAAGCAACTTTATGAGCAAAATGTGTTTTGTCCCAATGGATCCAGTGGTGGAAGTCCCGGAAAGTGAGGACTCGCCGTTGGACAAAAACATGCAAAGTGCAATTTTTTCGTCAATGTCTCCAAAATCCTCCAAAAAGTGCACTTTGGAACCGATTTTTTCCAATTTTTTTCTACCAATCCCAAACTCATGAGACGAAGGGGAAGCTGGTGCAAGTTTGAACCACTCTAAAAAAATGCTGTTTTAAGTGATTTTCTCAGGGAGAACGATTCTAATCAAGAAAAGCAACTTTTTTCAAAAACTGTTGTCCCACTGGATCCAGTGGTGGAAGTTCCGGAAACTGATTTTTCCAATTTTTTGGCAATTTTCCCGTTAATTTCTTTAAAATCCCGAGAAAACGTCACTTTCCAAACACTTTTTTGCAAACTTTTGCGGTTAGTCGCACGCTCGTGGACTGTAGGGGAAGCTGGTGCTCCCAGTGCAGCAACTTTCGCAGCAACGTTGCTTCGATCGAAAAAATTCACAACATGTAAAAACCCCCCTTTCAGTCACAAACTCACCGAAAAACTCGTGCGAAAATCCTGCTCCATGCCCAAAGGCGAGTCCGCCAGCATGCGCAGTACCGGGAAATGGCATCTGAGCAGGCGCAGGTGGCGCCACCGCTCCCGGTCGACTCAGAATACTTTCGATCGTGAACAGCGAACCGGATCCGGACTGCGCCGTAGTCTGAGGCGGCGGATTCTTCCGAAACGTTTCCACCATCCTAAAGTCGTCTTCGCAGTAGTCTTCCGGACCGCTGGATTCGCACCAGTCTTCGTCGCGTTTTGCCGCTGCCAGCGTGTGAATCAGGCCGAAGGCCGGCGTGTAGCTGAATGGATCTGGAAAATTCAGTCTACACTGTAGATCGACCGGAAAAAATCCATCGCATCAAAAAAAAATTAGTTTAGGGAAACTTTTCAGGAATTTGTGGACGAGTTGGCAACACTGCGAAGAGACAAGTAACTTCTAACTACCAACTCTCTATATTCTGCATGTGATTAAAAATTCAAGGACGTTGCCCGGCTGAACTGCAACTCGTGTTCAATTTGCTAGCTAACTGGTTATGGCGACCTCCTGTGCACATTCTGGCAACGTCCTGTGGACGTCTTTTTAAGGTAAAATGAGCACAAATCGCTCAAAATTATCAATTTTTCTGCTGCATTGATGTTGGTTTGTTTAAAGCCGAATTTATAGAAAACTTTGTAGATGAATGTGGAATGTTTGTACTCTGATGCTGGACGCATCAGGATAGAAAGGTTCATCGAACATTCTCTGGAATCTTAAGCAGATTTCTGGTCGGTAAGCTTAAAATCCTGCTTTTTTGAGTAGTTTGGCAAAAATCTTGAGCTCTTAAAAAATTTAGTTTAGAAAAAAATTCAGTAATTTGTGGACGAGTTGGCAACACCGTGACTTAGCAATTTTCACCCAAAAATGCGAAGTAACAAGTGACTTTTGACTACCAACTTTCTATATTCTGCATGTGATTAAAAAAATCAATGAAAACCAGCAAAACTTTAGACTGGACGTTAGAAGTACGTTAAAAGAACGTTTTGGGCATGCATCCAAGGACGTTGCCAGACTGAACTGCAACTCGTGTTCAATTTGCTGGCTAAATAGTTACGTAGACGCGAAGTCCTATGAATATCGTGGCAACGTCCTGTCGACGCCTTTTTAAGGTACAACGAGCACAAATCACTCAAAATAATCAATTTTTCTGCTGAATTGATGTTGGTTTGTTTAGAGCCGAATTTATGAAAAACTTTGAAGATGAATGTTGAATGTTTCAACTCTGATGCTGGACGCATCAGAGTTGAAAGTTTCATCGAACATGCCCTGGAATCTAAAGTAAATTTCTGGTGTGCAAGCTTTAAATCCTGATTTTTTGAGTAGTTTGGGAAAAATCTTTCGCTCTTAACAAATTCAGTATAGAAAAAATTTCAGTAATTTGTGGACGAGTTGGCAACACCGTGACTTAGCAATTTTCACCCAAAAATGCGAAGTAACAAGTGACTTTTGACTACCAACTTTCTATATTCTGCATGTGATTAAAAAAATCAATGAAAACCATCAAAACTTTAGACTGGACGTTAGAAGTACGTTAAAAGAACGTTTTGGGCATGCATCCAAGGACGTTGCCAGACTGAACTGCAACTCGTGTTCAATTTTCTGGCTAAATGGTTACGTAAACGCGACGTTCTGTGAACATCTTATAATCGTTATAATCTTAAAAAATTTAGTTTAGAAAAAATTTCAGTAATTTGTGGACGAGTTGGCAACACCCTGACTTTGCAATTTTCTCCCAAAAATGCAAAGTGACAAGTGACTTTTAAGTACCGCCTCTCTATATCCTGCATGTGAGTAAAATATCAATAAAAACCATCAAAACTTTAGACTGGACGTTAGAAGTTTGTTAAAAGAACGTTTTGGGCTTGCATCCAAGGTCGTTGCCAGATTGAACTGCTACAGGTGTTCAATTTCCTGGCTAAATGGTTACGTAAACGCGACGTTCTGTGAACATCTTGGCAACGTCCTGTGGACGTCTGTTTAAGGTAAAACGAGCACAAATCGCTCAAAATAACCAATTTTTCGGCTGGATTGATGTTGGTTTGTTTAAAGCCAAATTTATAGAAAACTTTGTAGATGAATGTGGAAAGATTGTGCTTTGATGCTGGATGCATCAAGGTTGAAAGTTTCATCGAACATGCTCTGGAATCTGAAGTAATTTTCTGGTCTGCAAGCTTTAAATCCTGCTTTTTTGAGTGGTTTGGGAAAAATCTTGCGCTCTTAAAAAATGTTGGTTTGTTTAAAGCCGAATTTACAGAAAACTTTGAAGATCCATCTTGAATGTTTCTACTCTGATGCTGGACGCATCAGGGTTGAAACTTGCTTCAAACATGCTCAGTTTCCCATCTCGAATCTAAAGTAGATTTCTGGTGTGCAAGCTTTAAACCCTAATTTTCTGAGTAGTTTGGGAAAAACCTTGCGCTCTTTAAAAATGTAGTTTACGAAAACTTTTTAGCAATTTGTGGACGAGTTGGCAACACCATAACTTAACAATTTTCTACCCAAAAAGGTGAAGTGACAAATGACTTTTAACTACCAACCGTCTATATTCTGCACGTAATTAAAAAAATCATTGAAAACCATTAGAACTTTAGACTGGACGTTAGAAGTACGTTAAAAGAACGTTTTGGGCATGCATCCAAGGACGTTGCCAGACTGAACTGCAACTCGTGTTCAATTTGCTAGCTAAATGGTTATGGCGACCTCCTGTGCACATTCTGGCAACGTCCTGTGGACGTGTGTTTAAGGTAAAATAAGCACATATCGCTCAAAGTATTTAATTTTTCTGCTTGATTGATGTTGGTGTGCAATTTTCACCCAAAAATGCGAAGTTACAAGGAAATTTTGACTACCAACTTCCTATATTCTGCATGTGATTAAAAAATTAACGAAAACCATCAAAACTTCAGACTTGACTTAGAAGTTCGTTAAAAGAACGTTTTGGGCATGCATCCAAGGACGTTGCCAAACTGAACTGCAACTCGAGTTCAATTTGCTGGCTGAATGGTTACGTAGACGCTACGTCCTGTGAACATCCTGGCAACATGCTGAAGACGTTTTCTTAAAGTACAATTAGCAAGTACAATGAGCACAAATCGCTCAAATTAATCAATTTTTCTGCTAGATTGATGTTGGTTTGTTTAGAGCCGAATTTATGAAAAACTTTGAAGATGAATGTTGAATGTTTCAACTCTGATGCTGGACGCATCAGGGTTGAAACTTGCATCGAACATGCTCAGTTTCCCATCTGGAATCTAAAGTAGATTTCTAGTGTGCAAGAAAATGTTGCGCTCTTAGAAAATGTAGTTCCGGGAAACTTCTCAGGAATTTATGGACGAGTTGGCAACACCGTGACTTTGCAATTTTCTCCCAAAAATACGAAGTGACAAGTGACTTTTAACTACCAACTATCCATATCCTGCATGTGATTAAGAAATTAATGAAACCCATCAAAATTTCAGACTGGACGTTAGAAGTTCGTTAAAAGAACGTTTTGGAGTTGCATCCAAGGACGTTGCCAGATTGAACTGCAACTCCTGTTCAATTAGCTGGCTAAATGGTTACGTAGACGCGACCTCCTTTGAATATTCTGGCAACGTCCTGTGCACGTCTTTAAGGTAAAATGAGCACAAATCGCTCAAAATAATTAATTTTTCTGCTGGATTGATGTTGGTTTGTTTAGAGCCGAATTTATGAAAAACTTTGAAGATTAATGTTGAATGTTTCTGCTCTGATGCTGGACGCATCAGGGTTGAAACTTGCATCGAACATGCTCAGTTTTCCATCTGGAATCTGAAGTAGATTTCTGGTGTGCAAGCTTTAATCCTTGATTTTTTGAGCAGTTTGGGAAAAATCTTGCGCTCTTAAAAAACGTAGTAGGAAACTTTCAGGAATTTGTGGACGAGTTGGCAACACCGTGACTTAAAAATGTTCTCCCAAGAATGCGAAGTGACAAGTGACTTTTAACTAACAAGTCTCTATATTTTGCATGTGATTAAAAAAATCAATGAAAACCATCAAAACTTCAGACTGGACGTTAGAAGTACGTTAAAAGAACGTTTTGGGCTTGCATCCAAGGACGTTGCCAGATTGAACTGCAACTCGTGTTAAATTTGCTGGTTAAATAGGTACGTAGACGCGACGTCCTATGGACATCCTGGCAACGCCTTGTGGACGTCTTTTTAAGGTAAAATGACCACAAATCGCTTTAAATAATCAATTTTTCTGCTGGATTCATGTTGGTTTGTTTAAAACCGAATTTATACATGAATGTTAAACGTTTTCACCCTGATGCTGGACGCGTCAGGGTTAAAACTTTCTTCGAACATGCTCAGTTTTCCATCTAGAATATAGATAGAATTAGGAACTATGTAGGTAGAATTTCTGGTGTGTGCAAGCTTTAAATCCTGATTTTTTGAGTAGTTTGAAAAAATCTTGCGCTCTTAAAAAATGCGTATCTTCCACAAGACTACAGGTAGGAACTTGAAATTTTCACAGTCTTGAGCAGGCGCATGACGCTTGACAGAGTGCAAATTTGTGGAAAATCGGCCTTAACCTGGATTTTTGCGCCCTATTTAAATGTGAGTGTTTTGGGAATGTCTGAATGAAAGTTGAGGTGACTTTTTCCGAGAAGAATCTGCACTGAGATTTTGTACAACAAATCTCCAAAAACTGTGCAAGTTGGCGATAAGTAGGAAAGAAACTGAAAAATGAGGAACTTTGGCAACAGGGGCCGTCCCAAAACGGCCAAAACTGAAGCTTAGAGCCCCTTCTCGCGTAAGCGTTCGCTTTTCCATCAGCGCGCCGCTTTCAGTTTTTTCGCTCTCTTTCAAAAAATCGCTGCTTCCAAACTTGTGCAAGTAGAAACTTGAAAGTTTCACCATCGGTTGCCGACACCCGGCGCTTATAATGGAAAAAGTTTGCTTACAAAAGCGGTTGATCGTGATTTTTAACGGCACTTTGAAAGTGCGGATCGAAAAATAAGTCGTTTTGCCCCAGTGCACGGTTTTCTTTGTGAAGGGATATTTTCCAAACTGCTGCAAGTAACAACGTGAAACTCTTGCAGTGTTAATTGGATAACTGGTTCTAACATGTGCAAAAGTTTTACAAAAATTGCGACAATTTTGGATTTTTTCGGACTTTGTGTACCAGAGTATTGACTTCTACGTTGCCCATTTTCCAAAAATTCATAACTTGAAGAATAGGTCACGCACAAACTTGATTTTAACGCACTATAAAGCAGCCACCTTATGCTTAACACGCAGAAACTTGCTTA